GTTTCAGATATCAACTCCGTGTGTGTGCATGTAGGGGCAGCTGTGAAGGGGAAAGAAAGCTGTTAAACTGTTAGGCAAACTCTTGTTACTCTTACGTAGAGCAGAACTCAGCCTACCTGTTTCTATTCTATCACAAACTCCAAACTTAGCTGTTGTGAAATTGAGCAGCTTATAATTTGAGTGCTGAGCTGTGCTGAGGAGCTCGGGTGGTGCCTGACCTCATGTAACCTTCAGCACTGAGGTGCAGGTGGTGGCTACCATTTTCACTTCGGGGGAAGTGGAGGCCTGCTTTAAGTAACAGCTCACAAGTGGGCTGGGAACCTCTAGGTAGACAACAATAGATGACTTGAAACATACGTTTCCAAAAATAGTGTTGTGTTGTCCTCAGCTCACTGCCAGTTGGCTTCCACCCGCTGCACTGGTACTGCTCTTGCTGTGAAGCTGTCCTCTGCATTACAGACTTCTGCCAGGGGACCGTCATCCAGAGTATGTGGGCATGCTTCGGTTTTGGTGCAAACCAAAACACCTGTCTTTTAAAGAAATGATATGGTCATGGTTTCCAGGTTGAGTGTCAGAGCAGCCAGGTGAGGTCTGAGTGTTCTGGTGTGTATTGTATTGCTTACATATAGGCTGTTCTTACAAATTGCTACAGTTCTTGGAACCTGTAATGGAACAAGCTTGAAGGAAGCATATTTATTCTGTTAGGATTAATCATGAACTAGGCAACTCTTCTATGAAGACAGTCATTGATCTCCCCCCCCCCAACCCCCGTAATCCCTAGGAGGAATAAGCTGAAACCTAAAAAGCAATTTTAATAGTAAATACTAAAATAATTTTAATAAGCAAAACCCATCAGCCTGGGAATGTCGTGAGTTTACTCTATAAAGGTGTTCTAATCACACGCGTACCTCAGAACAGTTGAGAAGAGCCAAATGAAAGGGGCCTTAGAGGAGGGCCTGGTGGAGAGGGAATGTTCAATAAACAGCTGTTTTAAAAACAAAGAAGAAAAAAGGCATTTGTAGCCCCCTCACTTCATGCCTTCAGCTGTCAGAATTTCCTGCTCCTACCGACGCTAGCGGGCCAGCCCAGCTGCAGCCAACACCTCCTCAGAAAGTGTCCAGGAGAGGATGAAATTAAGGCAGTTTAAACTATGAATGAGGTGAACCACCTGAGGCATTTCAAAAATCTGCATATACATTATCGGAAACTGTCAGAATCTAGTAGTAGTACTGGCTCCTTCCACGCTTCCAGGGAATAAAACATGGGATGAATGCCATGGGCCTGGGGGTGCAGACAAAACTGACACAGACCCTTCCTCAGAAGGCCGCAGTCTGGTAACAAAAGGTGTAAAATGCCGATGATCAAAGTCGGATTAGAAGGTGTCATGAGAAAGACAAGTTGCTGCTGAGGATGGCATGTGACCTTGTTCAGCGCCTACAGGGGTTGGATTTAGGCTCCCAGTAGATAAAGGGTGTGGCGTGAGCGGAAACGGCAGGAACACCGGAGCACTCACCAGGAGTTTGGCCAGAGATCAGGATGAAGAGGACCATAAAGTGACAAGGGGGGGTGTGGCGGAGGATGGGGGGAGGGAACACAGCCCAGAGGCGGTCAGCAAGGTCTGGGCTGGGAAATGGGATGTGGAAAGAGAAGTCCATCATTAAAGCCTCAGTTTCCTCATCTGAAAAGTCGAAATGCTAGCACCTGTTTGCTAAGAGTTACTTTTTAAGAATTAAATGGGTTAATGAATGTACTTAGAACCATGCCTAGCATACTAAGACCTCAGTAAGTGTTTGATGTTATCACTAACCAGTAAATATTTTAAGTTGGCAGGTACCAGTGTAATAATGAACAAGGCAAGCAAATGAGGTCCTTGACCACATTGACCTTATGGTCCAGTGGGGCAATGGACATTAAATAAATGTACACTCAAATATTCTGTTACAGATTCTACCAAGTACTATAAAGGATAAGAATAGGGTGCTGACTGGGAAAATCGGTAAAATCTTTGATAAAATGACATTTAATCTGAGACCTGAAGCAGATGAGGCAGGACTGTTAAGAGCTTCACGAAACGAGAAAACAAGGAGCTTCTGAATCATTTACCTGAAAAATTGGGGTTAGAGCTGACCTCCGAGCTCTCCCACGTCTCCTGCTGGAACTTCTGTGGCAGCTCCACCTCCGGCCTCTCCCTTTGTGGCTCTGGGTGCACATCTCTGCACATCCAGAAAAATGTGCTGCTCTTCCTAGTAGTTCCCCAAAGTCCCAGAATTGGCTCTCTTGGATATGATGTGGGTCACGTGCCCAATACCAACTGGTCAGGGACCGTGACCCTGCTTGGTTGGTCTTGGAACTGGGCTGAGCTCAGGGAAAATCGGAGCGTTTTCCTTTAAGGGGGTAGGCGTGGCGGGCAGACAAAAACGTCAAGTATCTACAGCATAAGGATGTGAGGGACAGTCAGCTGAGCAGAGTGGGTGGGAGAAGCCATTTGGGCAGAGAGCACGTGTGAAGCCCGGGGCCTGTGAAGCCCGGGGCAGGAAGGAACGGAAGGAGAGGCCGGCTGCCAGCTGGAGCCCAGGTTTTCAGACAAGGGGGGGGCAACTGAGGGCCGAGTCACAGGGGCAGTCCTGGAGGCCACGTTGGGACCCTAGATTCACGTTGAGAGCAGTGGGAAGACACTGAAGGGGTAACATTTGAAGTTCGATAAGCCGGAAGCACCCTAGTTCTGGGGAAACTAAGGTCACAGGAGAGTGGCAAGGGCCACAGGGAAAGA